TCCCTCAGTCCCCGATTTCGATCTTCGGGAGTCTAGGTACACACTTAATAACTTAATCGTTGAGCCAAAGTGAGCCATTCAAGAAGGTCCTCCCTTTTGAATCATGCTATTGCTATTTAGAAGCAGCTACAAATGACAAATGATTGAGGTTCGACCTCGATTCTCAACACAATTCAGCCTTCTTCATGACCCCCTTCCAAGTGAGTATTCTGATAAAGGACCTTTGGGTGTTTCATAAGCACATGAGATGCGTCAAGAATCACTACCAACACACACAACACGGACACACACACACACACACACACACACACACACACCCCACCACACACACACACACACACACACACACACACACACACACACACACACACACACACACACAACACGCCACACACACTCCACATCTCATCGTGGGAGAGGGAGGGTTCACGGACATAGTGGTGACCGAGGCGACGACTGTGCATTGCGAATAGTTGCCGGCTTAGACAAAAAAGACTCACCATCAGAGGCCTACGAGGCTGCGCTTATACTTTGCGGTGGCGACCACCAGCTGATAGCAGCGTTTCGGCGTAGGTCAGCGTCAGCGAAGGAAAAGTATAAATATTGACCTGTCGACTAGCAGTATACAGCAGCGTCCACCAGCGTTCACTAGTGTCCGTCACTGGGCGGCCAGCAGTCGCTCGAGACTAAGGAAAATTATAGGTATCGATCTAGGCACCAGACCAGCAAGCGTCTTCACCACCATCCACCACCGCCCAGGTGCAGGAGGGGAGAGTGCGAGGGTAGCTGTCTGCCTCTCTTCCCCATGCTCTCCCACTTTTTTTGGACTCTAAAGCGAAGTATGAACGCATTCTGACAGGGGTATACGACTTACCTCGCCACGCGGCACGCCAGCCGAGATGGATGTTGCAAGTGGGATTGGGTGCGCAGCAGCCACGCTAGAAAAAACCCACTTAACATGGCAGTAATAACTCCATGTCTCAAGGTCAACTTGGGCACTGAACCGCGACTGGAGATAGACGGGATGTAACGCTCCATACCCGTGCTACCATTCTCTTGTGCCGACTGCGCTCTCCTGCACAGCGTCTACTTTTCTCTCTGAATCGGCAACTGTCACCAACGCGGCGCGCACCAGTGGGCGGCCACGCTGAGTCCATGAGTACAGCATCTCCTCTCGCCGTAAATCGATGTCGCCGTAAAATGGACTGTTGTCGTAGGATCATATCTCTCCCCTTTATCTATTACGATCATAGACTTTTGTTCAACAGAAAAGTAAGATTCAAACGCACGCATTCGGCATGTCGGCCTTTACAAAGGGAAAAGTGAAGTGGTAAAAGTGTACTCGCCTGGGTAGCGCTCTCGTCGCTTGACGATGTGGTGACCTGAGAGTTTTGACTGAGTCCGGACTCTTCGCGAACTAAATCGGTCAGCACCAGAATGTCGCCATCTTCAGTGTCAACCATATGCATGACGTCGTCAATTGATAAAGTTCGAGGGATAAATCTTAACCTGCAGTTGCGAAAGTCAAAAGGAACCTCTGGGGACTACGATCAGAAGATAACCGCTAGGATCTCGCACCGTTCAAATTATCAGATTGGTAAGAAAGTCTTGTCACTTTTGTGGGTTTTTTTGTAAGCTCTCACTCAT